GGAAGATTGCCATAGTCAGGGCAGGAAGAACCATCCCTTCCTCCCTCCCAAACCCTGCAGAACCTCCAGCAACATTCCCTTGAAGGGCAGTTACAAGGCAACTAAGAAGGCCAGAGTGGCTTTCCATCTTAGTAAGAGCTCCCCCAAAGCCTGGCACCTATTCCAACAGCTAGACTGGGGTGTAGGGGGACAACAGTGAGCTTCAATGTATATTTCTCCTGCTACCCCTAACTTTTACTTTAGCAGGCTTTCACTGCAACTGAGATTCTCTTGCATAGATGGAAGCCTCTGGAGTAAGAAGGCCTCTCTACAGGCAGATGAGAGCTTCAGGAAGCTACAATTTCCTACAGCCCTATAGGTTCGTTCTGCTATTCAATTATTGCAGGTATTTATCAAAGGCATCCCAACATACTACGCATTATGGCTCTTATCCCTGGCTGCACCTTAGGAATCCCCCCAGGGGAGCTTTAAAAAGTACCCATGCCTGGGTCCCCATCCTCCAGACACTGACTCAGTTTGAAGAAGAGTCCAATCACAGATGAATTTTTGCAAGTTCGCCAGGTAACTGATGTGCATCCAGGGCTGGGAATCACTGGGTTAGGGTTTGTGGATTTGGATGGAGTGGGTGTATTATATATAGGGAGAGACCTTATACTGTCCTTTGAAGCCCATCAGCACCACCTCCCAAGCCTTATATAGTGTAGTTACTGTTCTTCCAAGAGACAGCAGGGCCTGATGGGAAATGTCTTGGGTTGAAAGTCAGTTTGGAGTCTTAATCATTTGATTTTTGGTGAACAGTCTGTGTCTTGATTTCCCTTTAGAAAATAAGAAGAGGTGAAAAGATTTCTGCCCTGTATTCCTCAGGGGATTATGGAATGTAGCTTTTTGGGGGGGGGGGGTAGTTATATAAAAGACTTACTATCCCTAAAAAAGTCAGTACCCTAATACAAACAGTATGTTTTAATACCTTTACCTCTCTTCAGAGCTTAAAACACTTTCCCCTCTAAGCTCTACAACCTTCGAAGGAAATAAATTGGTGGAGGTATTGCCAAGTTAATAATAGCGATTAAAATGTAACCTGGCACTAGTCACAAAATAAGTACAATGTAGTAAGTTTATTATACACAAAATATATTCAATTACAAAACACACTAATGAGCAGTTTAAAACCAGGTTGATTTCAAACTAGAAATTCAAACTGAGTGAAATATATGAATGAGTTCATGCTGGCAAATACTTGGATGCCTTTGGTGTAGTAATTTTATAAGCTTGCACTGCTTCACTGCTTTTTACAATTTTAGTTGCATTCATGCTCCTACTGAGAAGAGAAAATGTTCATATTTGGACTTAAGTAGGGGCTAGGAAAATGAGAACCATTTATTCCAACCTAAGATTTAATAATTAGATAATTTCTGACTATTTCCACTGATTAAAAGGTAGTGTAATAGCACTTGGTAAGTGTTCAGTATCGCTCCGATAGCTTTACATGTATTCTTATCCTCAAAACTGACAAACTCAAAAGGAAAGTACTCTGATTAACCTCATTTTGCACAATGGGAAAGTGGAATATAGAATAATTAACTATGACAAGATTATACAAGCAACAGAGGAAGGCGGCAGAATTCAAACCCAGGCAGTCTGGCCATGGAGCCGATTCTCTTAACTGCAACCTCACTATCCTGCTAGACCCTGCTAAAAAATCTGAATTTCAATTCCGAGTGAGGTAGAACATCTGATTCAGCTTCCATTCTATTGTCCTTCCAGAAGCATCATCCCAAACCACAGAACACTTGGCTTTCTTTGCACTGCTGTCCGTATCAAAGGAGAATATCGTCCTCCATCTGGTAATCACACTAACTGAGCCTGTTTAAGTTTGCTTCTAAGAGTTGGAGGCATTCCATGTATTAGATTAATCCAATCAACAAATACTGAGCACCTATCAAAACACTTAGGTAAAGGAGGGAAAAATGCAAAGTCCTTTCTTGCCCAGAGGAGGTTTACAGCCTAGTGAGGGAGAAAGATAAGCTGCCTCTGCTGGGCAGTGGGATAATTGCTACAGTAGAGGGAAGCACAGGCTGCTAGGATAGCTCCTGACAGAGGCAAGGACCGGGAGTTGGGGAGGGCAAGACTGATGGCAAAGTGTTCCTGGAGAGGTGGCTCCTAACCTTGGCCATGTATTAGAAACATTTCGAGAGATTTTAAAAGACTGCCAACCCCAGACCACAAGCTAGTCTAATTACATTAGAACCTCTCATTTTTTTTTAAAGAGCCCCTAAAGCACTGGTCCCTGAGGAGTAGCATTAGCATTCCCTGGAAACCTGTTAGAACTCCCACACCAAATCTACTAAACCAGCCCTCAAGGGGATTTCAATGTAAAGTCTGAGCAGTGGTTCTGAAGCTTAAACAGGCAACAGAATCCTTTCAGTGCTGCTTAAAATACAGGTTGTCGCATACAGAGAATACTGAAGCCCAGACTGCTAGGTCACCCCCAGAGGTTCTAGTTCCATAGGGGTGGGGTGGGGACCAAAAATATGCATTTCTGACTGGTAGCTAGGGTGCATAATTAAGGAGAACCACTGTCTTAGAGGAAAGGGTGGCTAAACTGGAATCTGAAACGTAAGAGTTGGCAAGCTAAAGGATGTGGTTTATGGGATGAAAACACATTCAGTGATACTTGAGCAACAGCTACATGCCAGGTGCTGCTCTAGATGCTAGGACTCCTGGAGTGAATGCAGCAAAGTCCTTCTCTCAGGAGCTTACCTGTCCAGCAACACAGACAATAGATATTGTCAGAAAGTGACAAATTCAGTGAAGAGCCTCCTACACACCCTTTTCCCCCCAGGTGTGTAGGAGACTCTTTGAGTCGCAGTACTCAGGTAAGAGCTCTCTGTGAAGACAATTACAGCAGACTGATGCTTGTCCTACAGTATCTTTTCTTCCCCATCTTACAAAGCAGGAGAATGTGGGCAGGGCACATGGCAACCAAGAATAAAGATTACATTTCCCAGCCTCCTTTATGAGACCACAGGGCTAAGTTCCTGCCAATGAGATGTAGGCATCAATTTGCTACTTACAGGAACATTTCTGAGCAGTATTAACCTTTGTCTCTCCTTTTCCTCTCTTCCTCCTTCCTGCTGCTTGGTTTGTGAATGCTGCTACCGTAGACCGTAAGGACACAGAACATGTCCCAGGACTGGCAGAGCAGTAGTCAAAAGGAACCAGGGTCCCATAAGACAATGGAGCAGAGCCTCTGTACCAGCCCTAGATAGCAAAGTTCTAGACAAATACATGTCCAGACTGTTTAAGCCACTGACAGCTTGGGTTGTCTTGATATTTGTGACAGAACCTAATACTGGTTCAATGGTTTTTAAGTAGAACCCTAAAAGAAATGAGGGAGCAAAGCATGTTGCTATCTGGAGGAAAAAGCATTCTAGGAGGAAAAAAACCGCAAGAGTAAAAGCTCCTGAAGTTGGGTGATGCTCAGAGTATTTGAGGAACAGCAAGGAAGCTAGGGTGCCTGGAATAAATGGAGAATGTTAAAAGATGAGGACAAGGAGGTACTGATGGAAGGTTCAGATGATAATAGGGTTATTTTTTTAAAGTAAAAATTAGTTCATTTAAAAAGTATGTATAAACATGTACGTTTTAAGGAATAAGGAAAACATCTTTGTAATCACCGCCAAGGTGAGAAGGAGAATGTTGCCAGGTAACTTGAAGTCTTCCTCTGTGGCTCATCCTCTTCCCTGCCCCAGAAGCAACCAGTATCTCCAATTTTTTGATAATCAGCCTGTAGCTTTATAGATGTAAAACCTATATATATATACTTCTCTTGATGAAACCACTGGGTCTACAGTGTATGCACATGTATAAATTTACTAGATAATGCAAAACTGTCCCAAAATAGCTATGCTTCTTCTACCATAGTGAATTAAAGTTCCCTTTGCCCCACATTCTAAGTGCTTTTAGACTTTTTATTTTTTGAGATGAGGTCTTGCCCTGTTGCCCAGGCTAATGACTGAAATGTACACTTTGGTCTCAGCTACTTGGGAGGCTGAGGTGCGAAGCTGCATTGAACTGAGATTGTGACACCACACTCCAGCCTGGGTGACAGTGAGACCCCATCTCAAAAATATATATATTAAAAACTTTTTTTTTTTTTTTTTGGGACACGGAGTCTCACTCTGTTGCCCAGGCCGGAGTGCAGTGGTGAGGCTGCAGTGGTCACTGCAACCTCCACCTCCCAGGTTCAAGCAATTTTCTGCCTCAGCCTCCTGAGTAGCTAGGATTACAGGCGCCCACCACCATGCCTAGCTAATTTTTGTATTTTTAGTAGAGACCCTTCATTAGGCTGGTCCTGAACTCCTGACCTTGTGATCCACCTGCCTCAGCCTCCCAAAGTGCTGGGATTACAGGCATGAGCTGCCGCTCATGCCTGTAAAAAAACAAATTTTTATGGTCTCTCAATTCACAGGAAAATTTTATATTTTCTGAATCCTAGTCCTTTGCATGATGAAGGTTGCCAAGTATCTTCTCACAGCATATAATATGCCTTTTCACTCTTTCTGGTATCTTTAGAGGAAACTTTTCTTTTTTATGACACCGTCTCACTCTGTCAACTAGGCTGGAGTCCAGTGGCCTGATCATAGCTCATTGCAGCCTCAACTTCCCCAGCCCAAGTGATCCTCCTATCTCAGCCTCCCAAGTAGCTGGGACTACAGGCGTGTGCCAGCCACCATGCCTGGCTAATTTTCTAATTTTTTGTAGTGACAGGGTCTCCCTGTGTTACCCAGGTTAGTCTTGAACTCCTGGATTCAAGCAATCCTCTTGTCTTGGCCTCTCAAAATGCTGGGATTACAGGTGTGAGCCACTGCACCCAAAGCAGGAAGCAGCCTTTAACGGAGTAAAATCATAAAATAAATGCAGAAAAAGCATTTGATATAATTTAGCACTCATTTTCCTAGGAACAGCAGTGAATTTTCTTACCTGATGAGGGTTCTCTCTTTTTTTTTTTCCACTAGAAAAAAAAACACAGAGCTTTATTGTTCTCAACACCAGCGGCAGCGGTCTCTGTAGGACCGGGGAGTGAGTTCTGTCGACTGACAGGGATAGGTGGCTCCTACTTGCCGGCGATGAGCGAGTTCCGCAGGACCACAATGACTGAGTCCCCGCGCAGGAACATCTTGGAGATATAGCGGTCTTTGTTGACTGGCTTAGACTTCTTCTTGCCCTTGCCGCTCTTGGGTACCTCAGTCCACATCTCCTTCACGTTCTCCAGCACCATGTTGCAATGCCTATCGAAGGCCTTCACGCGGCCCAGGAGTTTCTTATTGTTGCGGCAGTTGATAAGCACTTGGGTGTTGTTTTTGACGGACTGAGTGAGCACAGAGAGTGGACCCGTGTTAAATTCCTCCTCCTCTCGCTTCTGCAGCTCCTCCGGGGTCATTTCACTCTTGGGCTTGTTGAGGAGGCTCATGTTGGTCACTAAGCTCTCGGTTCACTCCGGTTTCCTCCGCGTTGCTGCTGCCTGAGAGGGTTATCTCTTAACTACATTAATCCGTTAATGAAACATTGCATTTGCTTTTTTTTTTCTTCTGGAGACAGGCCATCACATCCAGCCTGCAGTCAGTTTATATGATATAAAACCATCATTAAATTCATAGGATAAATCCAACAAATCAGTATTTTGTTATCCTTTTTAAAACTTCAGATTCAGTTTGCAAGTATTTCAAATCTTTATAACTATCAGTGATAACTACGTTACATTTTTCTTTTCATACTATCCTTGTTGAGTTTGGTGTCAAGGTTATGTGAGCTGGAGAGCTTTCCTTTTTTTTTTTCTTCTTAAAATAAGCAAGGGACTATTGCCCACCCCACCTCCCCCGAACCGCCTCCCTGCTCACAAATGGTTTGGGGTAAAATATCAGTTATTCTCTTCTTTGAATGTATGATGAACTCACTGGTGAGGTCAGCTGAGCCTGCAGTTCTCTTTGTGGGCAGAGTTATCCATTCATTCAAATGCTTTACGTGACTATAAAACAATTTAGATTTTCAGTCTCTTCTTGAGTCAATTTTAGGCAAATTACACTTTTCCACTACATTCACTCCAACTATATTTTCAACTTTATTGGCATAAATTTGTACCTATCTTTATGTCTTTAATGGCTACAGCATCTCTAATTATCTCCTTTTTGATTACTGATAGTTAATATTTGTTCCTTCTTTTTCTTGATAGGTTTCACCAGTTTGTCATTTTTATTAGTCTTTTCATTTTTTTTTTTTTTTTTTTTTTGAGACGGAGTTTCACTCTTGTTACCCAGGCTGGAGTGCAATGGCGCGATCTCGGCTCACCGCAACCTCCGCCTCCTGGGTTCAGCCAATTCTCCTGCCTCAACCTCCTCAGTAGCTGGGATTACAGGCATGCGCCATCATGCCCAGCTAATGTTTTGTATTTTTAGTAGAGACGGGGTTTCACCATGTTGACCAGGATGGTCTCGATCTCTTGACCTCGTGATCCACCCGCCTCGGCCTCCCAAAGTGCTGGGATTACAGGCTTGAGCCACCGCGCCCGGCCCTTATTAGTCTTTTCAAATAACCACTTTTAAACATTAATTTGTTTCTGTTTCACTTATTTATACTCTTATTTTTTCATTTTTAAAACTTACTGTGGTACTCTAACAATCCACTTTCAGCCTAGCTTTTCTAACATATATTAATAGATTTGAGGCTATAAAATTCCCTCTAAATAATACTTACTCTAGCTGCACCCCTACCAACGTTTTGATATATCATGTTTTCATTGTCATTCAATTATACTTTCCAATATATCTTCCTCTTAAGCTCATGAGTTACTTAGAAGCACATTCCTTAAAAGTTCCAGACATAAAATTTTTCAAATGATCATTTTATCACTTAACTTTAGCTTAACTGCATAGTGGGGAGAACATACTTCTGTATTTCCAGCGTCTGAAATCTGAAATTTATGGCCTAGTATTTAATCAATGTCCCACCTTTATTCAAAATGTATATTCTACAGCTGTTTGATGTTCCATATGTTCACTAAATCAAGTTTGATAATGTTCAATTCATCTATACATTAGTTTTTTATATGCTTATTCTATCTATTACAGAAGAAAGTGTTACCATTTTCTGCAATGACTGGATTTTTAAAATCTCCATGCAGTTCTGACATTTTCTACACTACATCTTTTAGGGTCTTATTACTAGGTGCATATAACTTTTTTTTTTTTTTTTGAGACACCGTCTGGCTCTGTTGCTCAGGCTGCAGTGCAGTGGCGCAATCTCAGCTCACTGCAACCTCCACACTCAGGCTCAAACCATCCTCCCACCTCAGCCTCCTGAGTAGCTGGGACTACAGACACATGCCACCATAACTGGCTAAATTTTACATTTGTTTTTGTAGACAGGGTTTTGCCATGGTCCCCAAGCTGGTCTTAAAACTACTGAGCTCAAGCCATCCTTAACCTCCCAAAGTGTTGGGATTACAGGCATGAGCCACAATGCCTGGCTGCATATAACTTTAAGATGGTTTTATCTAGCAATAATTCTGTGGCTGTTTTGTTTGATACAGGAAGTACTATATCAGAATTCTCTAGGTTACAATTTGCTCAGTGTACCTTTTGCTATCTTTTAAATTTCAACATTTGTTACTCTTATATTTTATGTCTTTTGTAAATAGTATATTATTTAATATTTGATCATCTTTGTCTCATAATTAGAGCATTTAGTCCATTTTCACTTAGTGTAAAAGTGGACAACATGCAAGGACAAATGAAAACTCTAGGAAAGAGTCAAAGGCAAATGCAAGAAATCAAAACACCATCATAGAAACGAAGAATCCCATTAATGAGCTCATCAACAGACTGGACACAGCTGAGGAAAGAGCTAAGGGACTTGAAGAAATGTCAGTCAAAACTGAAATGCAAAGAGGAAAAATGAAAAAATGCACAACAAAATATTCGAGAACTATGGGAGAGTTACAAAAGGTGTAATACACAAACAGGAATACTAGAGGGAGAAGAAAGGGAACAGAGGAAATATGTGAAATAATAACAGAGAATTTCCCAATATTAGTGATAGATACCACACCACAGATCGAAGAAACTCTGAGAACATCAAACAGGGTAAATACCAAAAACAAAAGTCACTTAGGCTACGATATTAAAACTGCAAAAAAATCAAAGAGAAAATCTTCAAAGAATCCAAAAGAACAAAACACTCAACCTATACAGAAGCATAAAAATTACCTTGTACTTCTCTTCAGAAACCATGTAAGCAATAAAAAAGGAGTGACATATTTAAACATCCTACCAGAAGTCTTAGCTATTGCAGTAAGATAAGACAAGGTATGTAGACTGGGAAGAAAAAAATAAAACTTTCTCCACAGATGGCAAGATTATTACAATTATAAAGAAAATCCAAAGGAATTGATGGGGAAACTTCTGGAACTAATAAGTGATTACAGCAAAGTTGGAGAATACAAGGCTGATATACAAAAGTTCACTGCTTTCTTATATTTAAGAAATAACAGTTGGAATTTGAAACAAAAACACAGTTATCATTTATATTGCCATCATTTACATTAGTATTTCACTACCAAGTACAATACTTAGGTATATACCTAACACAATATATACAAGATCTACATGAGAAAAATTACAAGACCCTGATGAAAGAAATCAAAGGACTAAATAAGTAGAGAGATATTCCATGTCTATAAATAAGAAGACATTATTGTTGTTCTTCCCAACTTGATTTATAGAATCAACACAGTTCCAGTCAAAATCTCAGCAAGTTATTTTGTGGATTTCTACAAATTCAACCATGAAGAACAATGTCTGAGGACTTAGTCTATGTGACTTCATGACTAACCATAAAGCTATAGTAATCAAAACAGTGAAGTACTGGCAAAAGGAAAGACCAGCAGATCAATGGAAAAGAAAAGAGAGCACAGAAACAGACCTCACAAATGTAGTCAACTGTTTCTGTTTTTTGTTTTTTTTTTTGAGATGGAGTCTCACTGTGTTGCCCAGGCTGGAGTGCAGTGGCTTGATCTCAGCTCACTGCAACCTCCACCTCCCAGGTTCAAGTGATTTTCCTGCATCTGCCTCCTGAGTAGCTGGGACTACAGGTGCACACGCCACCACACCTGGCTAACTTTTGTATTTTTAGTAGAGAGAGGGTTTCACCGTGTTGGCCAGGCTGGTTTTGAACTCCTGATGTCGAGAGATCCACCCGCCACAGCCTCCCAAAATGCTGGGATTACAGGCATGAGCCACTGAGGCCAGCCCTGATCTTTGACTAAGGAACAATGGCAATGGAAAAAAGATATCTTTTCACCAAATGGTGCTGCAACAACTGGAAATCCACATGTAAAAAAACAGATCTACAAACGGACCTCACACTCTACACAAAAATTAACTCAAAATGGATCAAAGTCCTAAATGTAAGAGTTAAAAATTGTAAAACTCTTGGAAGAAAAAATGTGGGTATATCTTCATGACTTCAAATTTGGTTGGTAGTGGATTTTTAGATATAAAACCAAAAGCATGGACAACAAAGAAAAGGACAGATTGGAGACTTCCTCAAAATTTATCTGTGCTTCAAAGGACAGTATCAAGAAAGCAAAAAGACAATCCACAAAATGGGAGAAAATATTTGCAACTTCATATTTCTTAATGAGGGCCTTTACCTACAATATATGAAATACTCTTACAACTCAGTAATAAAGTCAGATAGCCCAATTAAAACATAGCCAAAGGATCTGAATAGACATTTCTCCAAAGAAATATATAAATGACCAGGCCAGGCAGTGACTCACACCTGTAATCCTAGCACTTTTGGAGGCTGAGGTGGGCGATCATTTGAACCCAGGGGTTTCAGACCATCCTGGGCAACCATCTCTACCAAAAATAAATAAATAAATAATCTGGGCATGATAGAAAAAAAAAGTAGCCGGTGTGGTGGTGTGCACCTGTAGTTCCAGCTAGTCAGGAGGCTGAGGTGGGAGGATCACTTGAACTCAGGAGGTGGAGGCTGCAGTGACTGAGATCATGCAACTGCACTCCAGCCTTGGTGAAAGAGACCTTGTCTCTAAAAAAAGAAAGAAAGAAAATATACAAATGACCAATAAACACATGAAAAAAATGGTCAACATCATTTGATAAATGATTATTAGGGAAACACAAATCAAAACCATAATCAGTTAATATTTCCAACCCACTAGACTGGCTGTAATAAAAAATAATAACAAATGAATTGAAGAAATTGGAACCATCATACATTGCATGGTGAGCAGTAACTTTGGAAAAGTCTGGCAGTTCCTCAAAATGTTAAACACGGAGTTATATATGACCCACCAATGCTACTCCTAGGTCCATACCCTAGAGAAATGAAAATGTATGGATACAAATACATGTACATGAATGTTCACAGCATCATCATTTATAATAGCCAAACTGTGGAAACAATCCAAAAGTGAATCCAAACTAGTGAATGAATAAACAAAGCATGGTATATCCATACAATGTTGTTATTTGGCCATGGAATAGAGTAAAACACTGATACATCTACAGCATGGGTAAACTTTGAAAACATTAGGCTAACTCAATAAAGCTGGTCACAAGACCACATATATGATTTGATATGAAGTGTTCAGAACAAGCAAATACCTAGAAACACAAAGTAGATCAGTGGTTGCCTAGTGTTGGGAAGTATAGTGCAATGAACGGGAG